ATATATATATATATATATATATATATATATATTAATTTTCATGGTCCCATATTTTGGACCACTATGTGAGGATCTCTAAACTTGCATTTTAGAGCAATTAAGCTTTGCAGGTATGTTCTATTTAATTCATTCTAAACCATAAAGGCAAGTATCATATTAATCCAAAATAAAGACTAAGAAGTTTCAGTAAATATTTAATTGAAGCCAATTCTTCCGCAGTCATATACCCCCTCAGCTAGTCAAAATTGTGGCACTGAGACTCCATAAGCAAAAATGAGGGTGAACGGGAACCCAAGTTAAGTTTATAATGGGAAGGATATCTTTTATTAGGTCAACTAATACAGCTAGAAAGAGGAAACAGGCTGACCTTAGTGTGTACAAACATTCCATCGTGCACAGATAAAAGTGGAATTGATTTTTTTGCTAAATATCAATATGTTTATTGTAATGGACAGAGAAAAGTGACAGTTACTGGCAGATGGGGTGGATTTTCGAAATGCTTTTTTCTGAAATGCTCTTATTATCATGGGTGAAGAGACTTGCCTATGACACTGAATTGCCTGGGTCCTTTTAACAGAATTGTTCCTTTCTAACAGAACCTTGCTGAGTAGTAGCTAAAAATTTTGAGGGGAACAAGCACTGGGGAGTGATATACTGAGCACTATGATGAAACTAGTCCAGAAACAAGATGCAGTGGCTTTCAAGAGGTTCCTCCCTTCCTCCCCCCAAACCACACACAAAAACACATCCTAGGTGGTCGAGAAGGCATTGCCTAGAAGTACAAAGTGCCTGAATTGCACATGTGATTGTTACACTGGGATAAAAGCTGGAGCTGGGACAAGGGCAGATCCCGCTGCTTCAGTATTTGTACTTTTTGAAAAGCCAATTTGGCAAGCAGCGTAACAAGAGCCTAACAAGTGGATGGACATATGGGGAGGCAAAATAATTGTGCATTTGGAAGACTGTGCAGATGTGAGCTGAAGCAAGGGCGTAACTCCATATGGCGCATTGTTGACCTTTGGTTGGTGCCTGAATGACAGTAACGCCGTGCGGGTCGCAGCATCTGAGGGTTGCTGTCCTGGGAGTGGGGCTGAAACCAGACAGAACTGGATTTATGCAGATCATCTGCGTCGCAGACAACAAAGCAGCTTCTCACAGCTGTTGTGCCTGCGATCACCATCATATTACTGCACCTTGCAACTCAGAACCCCTTCCCTAAAGTACTTGGTGTTATACAATGCTCCTAGAAAAAAGATGCTTCACCTTCCTTCTGTGCAAGGAGAGCAGAGGTACAGGATACTTTTGGAATAAAGTCCTAATATTTCTGTGGTTTAAGAGACTTCAAATGCATTTGAAGAGGAAATTACTTAATCCTTTCAGACACAGTGTTAAAAATCTTGTGGTTACTTTAAGAAAGAGCTTATTTGAGAAACAGTCACAATTTTTTTGAAGCTAATCCCAGAGGGGTGTGCCTGCTAGGCAGAATTGCTGTGGCATTTCGTTTTTAGGATAGTATGATGAGTGCAGGGCTTAATTCTCCAATGCTGAAATCCTTTGAAATATACCAGAGAAGTTCAAACTGGCTTACGATTTATTGTCACTTGTTCTTCCCTTTCCCTTTTGGCTGTTAATCCTAACCCTAGCTAAAAGTTTGGCCTCAATTTATCAATGGCTGCTTGAAGTACTCAGGAGGATTTGCTCCAGTGTTCACCAGAAGTCTTTGATGTATGAGATTGTAGGGTAACACTGGTAATCTTTTGTGAGGAAGTGTCACAATACATACATCGATCATCCGAGCCTCTGTCTGTCAGACTCTCCCAACCCAACCGTATTTTTCATGACACAATGCGGCGCATGGCCTTTAAATTACCCATCTGTCTGACAAATCAGTGAGTGTGGCAGAAACTGGCAGCAGTTTGACGTCGCCTATCACTTTAACTGAAGTGAAAGTAATGCAAACAGATTTATGGGATCCCCTTTGATTATAGACTATGAATATATTTGGAATTGATGTCTGGGGGAAAGACAACAGAGAGGCTGGAAAGGCTTGTAGGCAAAAGCACTAGTGCTGGGTTTGGAGCTTTGCATTTTTTTCTGGGAGATTGTTCTATTTTTTCTTGTATTTTTTCCCCTCCCTCTATGTTGCATCTCATCTGAATACCTTTCTTTTTTTCTCCTGAATTGATTATTTGGCTGCTTTAAATTCATAAAGTTACAAATATCAAGACTGAATTTCCTTAAATGTTTTTGCAGTAGAGCTATTGAGTTTATCTGTAGCATTCATTGCCTAGCAGTAAATAGTGCTGAATTCCAAAGTGTGCTTCAGGTACAGCGGAGCACAGCAGAAGACAAATGACAGTTGGAGGCTGACAAGGATGGTCACTCACGGCAGTGCTGGGAAGGACTTGAGTTCTGTGACAGTGGAGCAAAGCACTGACTTGTGGTGTCTTTTGATCCAATGGTTTATCTCTGCAGAAGTCACTAAGACCTGGGCTTTTGCCCACTGAGGTCTCCTTGCATCTGGCCCCAGTACAGCGTTGCCTTGAGCCAGGTTCATACATGAAGTCTGCTGTAACAAGCCTCCTTTTTCAGAAAGAGGATTTTATCCTATTTATTGAGGCTGTTGCTTAAGTGTAGTGGTGAATTTGTGATGGTGAAAACTGGGGCTGAGAGCTACTGAGTACATCTCATGTACAGGCAACAACATGTCCATTCAAATAACTCTTGGCTGCAGCTGAGCTCTTGAAGCCCTGAGCCATGCAATCCAAGTAAGTAGTAGGGTGGTACCATTTGGGCGTTATTACATTTGTTGAATCATTTTCTAGGCTCTCTGGAGCTTGCACAAGGTTCTCCTGATGCATAGCAGAAACATGTCTGTTTGCCGTTCTTTAGAAAGTCATAAAATAAAGTGATTCCCTTCTTATTAAAGGAATAGTTTCATGAACCAAAATACAGGCATTGCAAGTCACTTAACAGATAGTTGTGGTTAAGCTGTGATGGCTTCTGCCTGGATTCCGGTGGAAGCTGTGATTCAGAAGCTCAGGCAGTTCCCTAAACACCTTCAGTGTTTGTTTGTGCAAAGCAGCACCGTACCAGCAGCGATCCGTCCCTGGTATGGGATCTTATATCCCCATTGTCACAGCCATGTAACTACAGGGATCACAGTCTACAGCTGTATAGCCCTGAAGGAAGCTTTTATGAATCTGGAATCCTTCTCCTGATTTTTGCGTGAGAGGTGTTGGTATAACCTAGAGCTGAATTTGGTTTGTTGATTCCAGCATGCAACCTAAACCTCTCACCAGCGTTACGGCTTTGCAGGCCTTTTGAAACAATGGAGGGAAAGGTGCCTTCAGCAACATGCTTTCTAAACACACCAAACAGCTGTTTTGCTTTTCGCCATCTAGTGTTTGTGCTGGAAAGAGAAAAACAGGTAACATTCCTCTCTATGCTAAACTGCAGAGGGCATCTGCATTAGGATGATTACTGTACGAAACAAAACAGGCCTGCTGCACAAAGGAAAAAGTGCTGGCAAATGGAGTTCATCACCAATGAGATGGGTATTTTCCTGCCTATGGTTACTTGTATGGAAACCACGTCCCAGTTGCAATGAGGAAAATAAGTCTGTGTGCGCTTTTTGATAAGTGCATAGGAGCTGTGAATGACCCTGTTCTCTATTTGAAGTGTTTATGAAGTGCTGCTGTGTTAAAATTCAGGGGCTGAGACTGGTGGGATTAGTCAGTTCACCAGGCATTTGAAGGCTTCTGTGAATGGGCAGCTGGCAGTGCCACTTGTGCATTTTCAATCTTTACCTCCAGCCTTTGCATGTGATGATGAAAGGCCCTTCTGGCTTCCAGGTGCAGGCTGCTGCTGAGGTTGCAGCAGAGAGGTTGTTACCAAAGCGTCTCCTCCCACCTCTCCAGGTGAGGAGATGGGTACGGAGATGCCAAGAATTGTAACTCTGCACCCAAGTTTGTGTCTGCATGATTTCATGAGGCTTTCACAGCAATAGTGGGCTCCTTTGTAACAAAACATGGTGGTCAACTGGAGAAGCAAATAAAGCAGACAGCAGAGGTCCTGGTTCCTGAATGAGATTGTCCTGTAGATTTTGAAATGCCTCTGGCTGCTCCTCACAGGAAAGGCTTAGTGGTCTTTGGGGTCTGTCTGTATCTCTTCCTGTCTGGAACTTGGTTAGTGGGAACCTGTATAGAGCTTTGTTTTGGTTTAAGGAAATCCAGGTGTAGCTGTGTGTAGCCCATAGTTGTGAGTAAGATATCCTCAGCATTTGCCATTTTATTTTTTCCCCAAACTTCATCTACTCCTGCTCCAAGATCCACAATTCTCCACCAGGTCTTGCCTGCCTGTATCCCACATCCATGCTGAAAATACACCCACTGGAGCTCCCTCTGCATAAATCCCACACCTCATAGGTTTTTATGAGGATGACAGAGAAGCCCCAGCTACATTTGGAGCAGAGAAGACAGACGTACTATCCCAGCACAGCGTTGGAAGCATGGACACCAGCTAGGCTAGCATCACTGTGAAAAGGAAAGCTACAGATAGTGCCTTTGCTAATGTTGTTTGGTATAATCCTATTTTTCCCAATGAGTTTTTTTTTCCAGCACAGCTGTGTCAGTAATGGATCTCACCGAGGCAGGCAGGACTTTGCGGTGGATCTGTGGCTTTAGCCAGATTCTGCATGGCTCTTATAGCAAAGAAGAGGGTGCGTGTGAGCAAAGTCACACTGGGCTTCCTTTTGAGTTAAACCAGTCCTAGGCTGTTCTCCATAGGCAGGAGCTCTGAAACTCAAGGAAAAACATCGGGCTCTAGTACTGACCTTTAGTGCAGCCTTGTCTCAATGTCATGTCTAGGATCCAGTGAATGACATTGGATGAAGACCTCTAATTGCAGCCTGGCCCCTCTGCTTTCAACACTCTTGGCTAGTTGCTGATGAGTCAAAACACGTGCTTGTTATGAATAATGAATTTTTCTTTTACCTCCAGGGAAGATGCATGAACTTCACTCGGGTGAAGTCAGATGGGACCTCTGCCCCTTACAGCCCACCGCCAAAGCTGCCACGACGTGACGATGTTCCTCTCAACTATGCTCCAAGGAGCCCTTCTCCTCCCGTGTCTCTGCAACCCCCTTCCAGGCAGCCGCCTCCTGGACCACCCCCGTCTCGAGCCCCACCTGGACCTCCTCCTTCACGGCCACCTCCGCAGCCCATGGCTTAGTACAGCAAAATCCTGATCGACAAAATATGTCTCTTTGCTGAATGCGGCATATTTATTGAGTATTGGTTTACAGTTAAAGATATCAGATTTTGTTGCTGGTCAGCAAAAAAAAAAAAAAAAAAGAAAAAAGAAAAAAATTGCCAAGTGTCAATTTTAGTGTATGAATATATTTATACCACATGTGCTGAGTAAACATTCAGTGGATAGATTCAGAGCTATGGGGTACAGAAACAAACCAAAATGATCATCTAGATACAGTAGCAGCTTTTATATGTATACGTTTGAAGATCTATTTACACATGACATTTGTCTGACTTGGTATGTCAGATCATACGTTAATAACTTTAGCTGGATACACGTGCATCTGTTTTGATAGCTGCCACCTGCAAGTTGGTTAAACATAGTTCTCTGAAGAATTTGCTTTTTGTTTCCCAAACAGTACTGCATCCAGATGTTAAAATGGAACAATAATTGCAAAGATAATTTCTGCCTTTAGTTCTGCAGGTGGAATTTCCATGAAATTTTTCTAAGGAGGTTATAACAATAATAAGGTAAGATAAGACTATGTGCCAGTAATCTCACATATAAGAGGGGTGTCTTTCTCTGGAAAAATCAGTTTTGAGCCTGCCGTTTCTAGGTATGTTTAGATTTGGTTGCATGGGGTAGTCACTGAAGGCCAGATTTTGGTTCCAGAAGTCCGAACCTAGGTTCAGCTTCATCCAAGTTCAGAAGAATTTTGAAAAGTGTTTTGGATAGGTGTTTTGTTTTCATTTACAGAAAACACACTCCAAAATGGAACAAAAATGTGTAATTTGAGCATGAATGCTACCATATGCAAACAGAATGTCATATAAATCAGGAGGGACTGATTCCATTGCTGGTTAATCACTAAAAATTTTCCTCTCAGGCTTACTGCCAGGCAGGACTGGATCCTCTTGTGATTCAGGCGTAAATAAATCCCTTGCATAATTAAGGGATAACCGTAAATAAATAGGGATTTATTTTTTTTTATTTATAATCCCTTGCATAATTAAGGGATAACCGTAAATAAATAGCCTTGCAGTCTACCTGTGGTTGCGATAGGCGCAGTGTGGTTTGTCGGTGCTAGCTTTTTCCCCTCTCTTCTATAAAGTTTGACTGGAGGATTTCCCAGGTCTTGACTGCTTGCCCTCAATTCTACATGTCATCAGAAAAGTGATGGGGCACCTACACAGAGGTGGGAGTTTGACGCGGGACTGTGGGACAGCCCATGCCTAGTTTGTGTTGTGGCATCTGTGTGGGTTGTGCCCAGATCATTCCCTAGTAATCAAAGTAACACCTGAGCTTGCTTTTCTCCACCAGTACCTATCATATGGTATTGGAGAGGGTGTCTGCAAATCCCTGTGCTGGTTAGCTTAGTCATTAGCTGTGTAGTTAGGATGTTTGTAGAAATAATGTGTATGTTGCACTATGGCTCAGCATATACCTATCTCTCCATCTGTGTGTAGGTGTGGGTGTGTAGCACATCATATGAGTTATTGGCATATAGATCCAAGATAAAACATTAACTGTATCATGTAACTATTCCATATGTAAGGGCCTCTTCATGCAGTTTTTACAGGCATATAACATTGCACTGGTGCAAATAGGAATCAGGCTTACTATTTCCAGTGGAAGTCCCACTTGCAGAACACCATACCAAGCTCTCATCAGTCTGTACTGATCACTGTGACATGCCGTGTGTATGCAGCTGAGGCTGTCAAAGTTAAACTCAGAAGAACCACAGAGCCTCTTTTCTCCTCTTGCACTGCTCTGCTCTCTTGAGTTATGCTCTTACCTCATGTATATTGGTGCAGGTAATGGAATCACACTCATGGGTGCCAGCTGGCCTTGGAGCCAGCAAAGCACTTCTGCATGCATTAATATGTCCTGCAGGTCAAGAGGAACATCCTTATGCACAAGTATTTTGCTGACCTGTGACTTCATAATCAGAAAGGAGAACTGGGATGTACTCTGCTCTCCTCATGTTTTTAGCCACTTGAAGAGGGTCTGCATAATTTGATCTCTAAGAATGGGTTTCTGTTTGGAGGAGAACTGTGTGTATGTATGTATGTGTCTGTGTGTGTGGGAAGTGTGTAGGTTTTTAATGTTTGGTTTCTCTTCCTTTACAAAAAGTTGCTCAGAGAGCAGCACTCCTATGAATGGAAAGGCGTTCTGTAGCCAGTGCAACACAGTCATCGCTCACTTATCTCCATTTCTTTTAGTTGAAAGGTGAATCTAAATGCGTCCAATTTTCTACTGCAGTTCTGGTGAAGCTCCACTTTTGACACCAGTGGAAGCAACTGGATGACTCCAGTGAGAGGGTGGGAACCTGAATATGGGGGAAGGTGCTTTCACAAGCAGAGATCACTGGTTGATGTTATTTTTGTCCTATGGAAGCCTATGTGAAGTAAACTTGTTGGATCTAAGATGTGTTGTAATGTGTACATACAGTTGAACCTGGTAGTATCTCACATCAGCCACAAATACAGTTTAGATGGACAATGGACAATAAGCCACAAATGCTATTCAAGAATTGAAATGGCAGAGGGTAATTAAATATAATAAAAAAAAATCCCCCTGCTAGGGCAAAACACAGCCTGTGAGAGTTATCTGCTTGTGGGATTGGAGCAGGCCTCTGCTCTGTAGATGCTAAGTCTCTTACCAACAGGTGGTGATGGGATTGTAATAATGGTGGATCTCACAAATTATGTGATACTAAAAGGGAAAATTTGCTTACTGATTTAGTATCTGCTAATCAAGTTGAACTAATGTGTTAGGAGTAAAGTTCAGCTAATGAAAAAGCCTGTGAGACAGATTCTTTGTTCTCTTGCTCCTGTATAGATCTTGAAGGGGGGTCAGAGTTGTTGCAGACTTTGATTGATGTTAAAGTAGAATTTAACTCGCTTTCAGTGAAAATGCAGGTGTTGGCTTAGGGAGAACTCTCTGCAATCAAACTTCCAACACACCTGTCTCTTGTAGTTCTGGAAAACATTCTCCTTTGCTACAAATAGGAAGCCTTGCAGATATAAATTACTTATAATTTCTGCATAATGTACAAGTGAAGCAAGAATAGGAGTGGTCTGGTGATTCCAGGTGATCAGATCTATGTATGATAAAGCAGAAAGCACCAAGAAATTGAAAATTAGGTTTAGCATAAATGGAGTTCCCAGCATCTTCACTATATTAAAATTTAAGCGTGTGGTGGATAACTCAAAGTTTTTGGTGCCCCCCACCAGCTTCTATGATGGCAGCACTGCAGGTTTAGGTGATAGTTTGCTGGTAACATGGGAAGAAAAGAAAGCGAATCTGGCTGAATTACCTTTGAAATGTAAATACCGCACTGGCTACATTAAGGCCTTTTGGTTTTGTAGAAATGTGCCTGGTTGCAGTGATCTCAGGCACTATAACAATGCAGTAAGAGAAAACAGTTGCTATTTCAGATTCCCAAGCTTGATCCTTACCTGGTGTATGGTATCCTTACCTATGTAAATTAACATAGGCCAACTGAAGTCAAGGCAGTAATATTGATGTGTATCAGCTGAGAGCTGGCTCAAAATAAGAGAAAGAAAAAAAAATCCTTCTAACTGGCTTAAGATTTAACTATGTTTGTTTTGATATGCGTGTATATCAGTTTTGATTACAGTACTTACACTGCTAAGAAATGTTCTCATGTGGGATGATTCCCCTGTGTTTTCCAGCTCAGCATCATTTCAAACTTAACAAAAAGTGAGCATCTAATGCTTCCCCTCATCCAAGAGAAAAATGTGGATTTGAGGGACCTTTGGCTCACACTTAGCACAGATGTGAAATGACACAAGGTGCAAAGCAGCGGGGAGGGTAACCCCAAGTGTTTAAAGCTGATACGGAACCACATTGATCAAAGCATATTTACGGCCATCTTTTAACCTCAGTGCATGCATTGCCATCTGTGGGAGTAGCCTGCAGAGCAGACAGTCCTAAATGTAAAAAGGAAAAAGAAAGGAAAATAATCTGCTCCTCATCTGAATGAGTGAGCATAACAATGAATGATATTTCATGAACTGTAGCAGTTCAAATGCATGTGCACCTGGTGCTCCTAATGCTTTTTACTCCTGTTGGTCTTTAGACAACGTGATCAGTAATATGCTTTCTCTTTAATCGTTTGCTAGTTTTTATTGTTGTTATTTTGTTTTGTTTAAAAAAAAAAAAAAAAACATTTCACTGAAAAAAACAGCCCTACTTCTGTAAATATAGTTTAATTTGGAAGAGACAGCACACTTCTGGATGTTACTGCTGGACAGTTATTTATTAAAAGGGGCTTAAGGTGAATAAATACAGGTGGCTCAGGATACATGCATGCAAGTGTGATAATGCAGTATAGCATTTTCAGTTCTCGGTAGTTTCGGGAAAGGGGAATTTTAGGGTCATCCTAGTATGTTTAGAAGTTTGTTACTGATCTGATACTTTTGATACTGCAATAGATTCCTAACATTTAACACTGCTTGAAGAGATGTGTAGGTTATGATAGATTTTTCATTTTGGGGGGAGGGAATAGTGAAGGAGAAAGGTTTTTGTTTTTAAGGGAAAAACTAAACTCTGCTAAGAGTTTACTGTACTAAACTCTTTAAAAAAAAAAAAAAAAAGTGTGTTTTCAGAAACAGTGGGGATAGGGGCTGACAGACAGCCAGGGAACAGAGATGAGGGACAGAGAAACCAGTTTGATTTTTGATGGACAAAGAAGTTATAAATGGGGGTGTGTGGGGGGGTGGTATTGATACATGTGGTACCAATTTCTGTAACTGACATGCTGCTTCCATGTTATAATCATATAACCTTTATGCATTTTATGCGCCTGCTCCATTTTTCTGAGAAAACATTGCAAATGTAATGCCTGCATGCAGATGTGGGAGATGTAGCCAACGTCTTGTAATCCAACATAATGTAGTCTTAATGGATTCAGAATCAACAATAAAAGTGCTTACTGGTTAAACACCACAGTGAATTTCATTGTAAGGGTCATCTTAAGAAGGGATAAGCTTCTCTGTACTTGGGTTTCTAATCAGCTCAACCCTCTAACAGTCAGGAGGAGTATGTGGGGTTGGGCTGCCAGAATTCCCATCCCAAGTTGCTGTTTAGTCATTATATGACTAGAGACGAGGGTACATTCAGTGCTTCAGTTTCCTGAGAATTGAAATCCTTGTCTCATTCACTTGTTTTAAGCCTTTTTTTCTCAGGTAGGGTAGAAATGATGAGTAACTTCCACTGAAGTTGGTACTTGAACATTGATTGACACAGGGAGTAGGATGTGAGCTTATTGCTGCTATCTAAAGAGAAGTCTAGTGCATAGAAACAGGAACATAAAGCCAAGCAAAATAAGATGCTAGAGCTCAAGTCTTTGGCAAACAGCAAATTCTATAGCAAAGCCTACACCTGTGAAAACACTGGAGACACCAGCATCTGGCCATGGTTGGTTTTTACCTGTACTTGAGCACAACTACTGATTTCTAGAAGCCTTGCCTGAAGAATGCAGGACTTGATCCTAAACTCCCTTCTCCTTCACTGTCTCTGAAGCTAATTTTTTCTTCTCTCGCTGCTGCTAAGGCTTCCTCTATATCTCTCCAAGCCTCATTGAGGATTTAGAGGTTGGGGGGCTGGGGGAAACATGAGCCAGGCAAGGAGGTCAGCAGGGGTTATCCACAAAAATCTCTAACCTAAGTAGGCTACAATTATGGGAAACCAAGGATGCTGCAAAGCTGCTGAGCTGTGCTATGTGCATAGTTTGCACAGTCTTGTGTGCAATGGGAAATGAAGTTGATCCTTGCACACACGCAGCCCCCTGAGCCCTTGCCATCGCTACCTGGGATACACAACATGACGGGGTGATGCCAAGGACATCTGTGACTTATCTGTGACTTCCTTCTCAGCTGGAGTTGGGCAAAGGCTTCTCTAGGTTCATTGTTAGCAGAGATTGTGGGGGGGGGGGAGTAATTGTGCTCTGTCTATGCCATCCTCCTGTGAAAGCAGTGTGTGTCTGGCAGCCAGCCGAGTACAAGATGCTCACTGGGCCAATCTGGGCTCTTATCCCCATCCTTAACAAGGAGCTATAACGGGAGGGGTCAGTTAAGCCCAGCTTCATAGCACAGTAAAGCCTCATCTGGAAAAACTCTAGGCACTGCTTTCTGGGGGCCCGATTGCTGTGTGAACTCTGACAAAGCTGGGGGGAGCTGCATGGTGACTGAGCCAGGTGCCCCCATCCCTGTGGGAACTGAAATCCTTTGCCTAGAGCTGTGCGCCTCCTCATGGCATCGGGGTCTCTGACAAAGCCCAGCTTGCCCTCACTCCGCTCCCCAGGCTGACAGAATGGTTTTGTGGCCTTCACTCTTTTTTGTTCCTCCATCTGGTTCTTACGGGAAAGGGAGGCTAGGGCTCTCAAAAGAGATCACACAAATAAAAGCTGGAGCCGAGGCTCTGGGCATTTTTGTTCTGCGTTAACAAAAACCCAACACTGGCTGCAGCTGTGGTTGGTTAGGTTTCTGCATGTCTGAGACAACAGAATTCAGCTTTGACCTGAACTTCCCCACAGTGTGGGCTAAGGCTAGGGCTTTGGTTACAGGCTTGTCTATAAATAGTCTCTAATGCTGATTTAGCACCTTTCACCAAACATACTTCACAGTCTCACGAGTGGCATTTACATGTGAACATACACCAACATGTGGCTGCGTGGAAGTCAGCAGCAAGAATTTTACTGGCTTCAGCATTTGAGCCAGTAACTGAAAAACACCCATTCTCCCCATGCTCCCATTCCTAAAGAAACCACAGGCAGAGTATGTTGCCCATACTGAAAATTTTCTGATCTTTACTCTATGAATGTGCTTTGGCCTTGGGGTAAGAGTAATCCCAAGCTTCATTGGTTTCTGCAACTAAGTTGCCCCCTCCCCTCACACTGAGGAACCCAACGTCACTGCAAGGCAGGGAATGCTGGAAGTCTCCTAGCTAAGTGCTACTCTGATTTCTGACAGCAGCTCAGGAGAACCAGTAGGACCCCAAAGATGAAACGAAAAAGCTAAAAGCCCTGAAAGCAAGGGAACAATGTGGCATCCTGCTGCAAGGTTTTGCCTGTGACATTGACTGAAAAATGTTTCCTGTTAAACTTTCCAAGATGCAGCATTGGCATGCATTTATAAATACTTGATTAAAAGTGTTTATATAAACCTATCTGTGTCTTTGCCACCAAGTTCAACAAAGTGAGCTCTTCCCACACCAGTTTGTTATTGCCATGTAGCAGCTGAGTTGCCCTTTGTCCATGCTACTGTTCTCCTGCATTCTGCTGAACCTCAGAGACATGATTCTTGGGAGCAGACTTGGAGCAATATCCTAGGTCTCATGACCCAGAGCACACAGCACTGGAGGTGTACACTTTTCCCTCTGAGGGCAAAGGGGTTTGGATTTATAGACTGAGTCTTCACAGAGGGCACAGACGAACACAGCATTCAAGACATTCACTTGTAGTAAACACACATGCATTTGACAGGCTACTAAATAAAGCTAACCTTTCTTTAGAGATCATGGCTCATGCATCTTTCAGGTAAAATATTAAGTGCACTAAAGTGTTTTCTATGCTCCATTATTTCAGTATGTAGGAAGATGCTTTGAGCTGAAAACATGAGTCTTAAGATTCCTCTACGTCATCAAATATTTGGCTAACCAAAACCAATGGGAAAATGTGGTAAGCATCTGTGGCAGCTCAACCTCCTCAAAAACACAAGTGTGACTGCTTTGTGCCTCTGTTTCCTTGTATACGAGAAATTCCTTATGCAAAAGTGAACCTGACCAGAGGTAGGAGTTAGTGATGGTCAGCTTTAGAGGTCTTTTCTATTCTTCACTGAATTTCTGCTCCACCTGTTGGGCCTGCTGCCAGCTGGGAAATGCTGCAATGTCCTCAGCAGAAAGATGCTTTCACAAGATGGTTAATAAACCTTGAAAGCCATTGCCATCATGACAGTAGACTTGGGTCTATTGTGGGTCACTTGGAGCCTCCCTCTCCAGAAATGCTTACAGCCCATGTCTGAGACATTGTGAATGACAGACATCCAGCAGGACAGTCACAGAGAGTCAGGTCCATCTCCACCTGAGCTAGCAGGTGTCTTGCAGGACTCATCCTCTTCTAGGGAACAAGTGAGTGGGGAGAACAGACAGTTCCCTGCAGGCTCTGGAGCTTCCCAGCCTTCTGTCTGTTTTTGCCAACTTTAATGGTTTTTGCATTGCTGAAGTGACCCACAGGTCAAAATAGCAAATAGCTCATTTTCCTCCCTAGCACAGGAGCAAAGGAACAGGTCCTCGTCTAACCCATCTGGACCCAGCATCACCACAGGAAGAACAGGCGGGATGTTTCATGGGTGGCCTCAGTGCCTCTGGCAGGGTCTCCTGAAAGGTATATCTGGAGGGCAGGTTTCCTACATCATCCAGGAATCCCGTCCTTCTCTTTTTCCTGAGCTGTGTACGTGTGGGGGTTGTCTGCTCCCCAACAGCCTGATCTGCAGCCTGCTGGTGCCAAGGGTGGCTCTGAGGAGCTGACTGAGCACCCCTGGGTTCACCAGCTCTGCAGTGTCATTCTTGTGGGGTGGCAAAGCCAGCATCAAGTCTTTCCTGCTTTCCTGTAATGCTACCACAGGAGAAGTAGGCTTTGGCTGTTTCTCTGCCCTCCATTTTGTGCTTCATTTTCCCTTGCTGGAAGGACAGAGCCCAGCTCTTCCCGCAGGGCCTCCTCCTGCCCTGAGGGACCGGTCCCCCTGCTCCTTCTCACCCGCCTGCGGTTGGCCCCGGCCAGGCTGCCGCTGGAGGGCAGGGCTGGACAGCCGATGGCCCGCGGTGGAGCAGCCTGCTGGGAGCTCCCAGAGCAGTGCAGGAAGTCAGCGTGGCTTTTAAAGAAAAATAATAATAGTAATAATAATGTGTTTTAAGCTGGTTTTGCTCTGGAACCCCTGGTTAAACCTGCAGTTCCAGCTCCTGTACCGCCCACAAGGTGACGGTGCTCTCTGTGCCTGACCTGCCAAGGAGCAGCAACTCCCTGGCTGTAAAACCCGTGGCCACACTGCTGTCACCCTGGCTGTAAAACTCGTGGCCACAGTCCTGCCAGCTGCTGGCCCTCCTTACCCTCACCACCCACCACCAGCATTGCCCTTGAGCTGTCCCCAGCCGCCACAAGCGTGAGGCCAACACCACACGCTGGGATGGGGTTTGCATGGGCACCAAGCAGGAGCAGCCTGCTGCTGGAAGCATGTGCTCCCTGTGGTAGGTCAGGTCACACACACAGCATGAGAGAGCTGCCTTTTGACAGCAACATAAACTGGAAATGAGAGTTGTAAAAGTCTCCTGGGATAAGAGTTTTCGTTTGTTTCCTGGTTACCATCAATTTGTGATGCAATGCCGGACTTCTGTTGCTTGCATAGGAATTGCCTAAGAGTCTGCTGAGATTCACAAAGGCTATGACCAGAACAAGACATGGCTGACCCAACAAAAGCAATCCTCAAGACACCACACAGCTTTGGCAGCAATGTGGTGCTTTCCCTAGTACCCAGCATAGAAGAAGATTACTGTCTAAGCCTATCAGCTAACAGCATCTACTGTTATTTATCTTGCACCAAAGTAGATCTCTGCAACAGAAAAGGTCTCATGGCTAAGAGTTCCACTGAGGTGCAGTTCTTGGACCTGGAACTGTTCAGCATTTCTGGGGTGTTCAATAGCTGGACTGCAGCTAGGTAACTGCAGCCTGGTATTGCCACTGCTCAGTGCTGTTTCCACTGTAGGCTGAAGAAAACTTGGGGTTAACCTTGGTGCTGCCATCTTTCCTCCCCCCAGCACTTACAGACCTCTGCCACTACTGGTACCTCCTCACCTCCTTCCCAAGTCCTTGCCATGGGCAGATCGTCTTTCCCGGCTCTTCCCTTTGCCTTCCTCAGTGCTGCTCCTTTCTCAGCCATACTTCTGCACTTTGC